CCCTTACCTAACAAGCATGTCGTAAGAGTCGACTATCTGTGAAAAAAAAGAGACAGGAAGACAGCGCGAGAAGATTCTTGACAGCTTTAATCATGTCATGGAGGGGTGTCAGCACACTAAGGGACACACGCACTTGCAGAGCGCAAATTATGGAGAGGCATGATCGCCCAAGAGAGTCGGCAAGGCACTTGATCACGATAAATTAGGGGTTTCCTTCGAAGCCCGAGTCTATCTACCTAAGAGGCAAGGAACCAACAGTCTGCCCACAAATTAGTCACGTATGCACGCAACAAAAAATTTTTTGGAACATCACTTAGGTCCAGAAGTGGACGAACAATAAGAACTTTCCTTTGGAGTTTACCGCAGGTGAACGCTAAGGCGGAGAAGAAGAGACGCAGAAGTGTTTAAAAGTTAGTTTAGTATCTTTTACAGTATCTTTTACAGGACGTTGCAGAACCAACAAAAGCATTTTTTGGCTGTGTGCGGTTTTTCTAGGCAAATTTACGACCAGTTGTTTATCATTGTTTTTTTTTTTTTTTTTTTTTGTTTTTTATTCGACGGTCAGCTTCTCGATAACACTGTGGACACGAACGCAAGGCGCAAGACCCGCAGCTGGGATCGAACCCGGTATACCGGCATTACGAAGCGTGTTTGCAACGCATAAGCCACAGACGCCACAGCTAGGAAGTACAAAGTCGTGTACAAATACGAAAAAGCAATTTGCGCTTTATATTTTACGGCCGCATGGCTAATTCTGTCGCCACGACTGTGCTGGTGGGGATTTTTATTTTGCACTCGACAGAAAAAAAAAATCCCCAGCCTTACCGAGGATTCAAGCCCGGGTCTCCCTCTTGAAAGCCAAGTGTTGTAACCGCTCTACCAGCCGCTCCTCGACGTATTATAAAAACACAATTACACGAGATTGTTTAGTCTTGTTTTCTAACAAAGGCTTTTTTTCTAACCAGTTTGTTTTATCAGACAGGGGTCGCGTTAGCGCAGTCGAAATGAGACTCACTTCAAAATCTAGTTGCGATTCGCTGCAGACTACGTTCGGTGTTCGAAACCGGGCAGTTTCCGGGGTTCACGCAGCTAGACTCTAGGTAATGGGTACCAGAGTTAACACTCTGGGGTAAATGGAGGAACGTCGCTGTAGCTACGGAGTTGCGTGCGGACGGCGACACCGGCCGACAGCTTTATATCAGCTGTCCGTAATAGTGAATTATGGTTTATAACCGTGTGCAATGACGCTGGTTCACATCCCCCTTTACCTTTTGACATTGTTAAGATCTATTTTTCGTTTTTGAATTATTTACTTATTTATAAAACTCTTTCGACAACACAACGCTAGAGCTTTGATGCCAGTAAAAAAATTATACACTGATAGCTTCATGCTTCACACAGCAGGTGGCAGAATCACTGGGATAGTATTTATGTATGTGGGACTTTTGTAGTTCCCACGCCGACTATATGCTCAGTTCTGTGGGAACTCACCCTATTTCCTGCCTTTGTATTGTTTACTTTAGCAACAGGAGAAGAAGGAGGGGGGGGGGCTAGCAGTAGTAGTAGTAGTAGTAGCAGCAGCAACAGTAATAGTAGCAGCAGCAGCAGTAGTAGTAGCAGCAGTAGCAGCAGCAACAGCAGTAGTAGTAGTAGTATTAGTAGTGGTGGTAGTAGTGGTAGTGGTAGTAGTAGTAGCAGTCGTAGTAGTAGTAGTAGTAGTAGTAGTAGTAGTAGTAGTAGTAGTAGTAGTAGTAGTTGTTGTTGTTGTTGTTGTTGTTGTTGTTGTAGTATTAGTAGTAGTAGTAGTAGTAGTAGTAGTAGTAGTAGTAGTAGTAGTAGTAGTAGTAGTAGTAGTAGTAGTAGTAGTAGTAGTAGTAGTAGTAGTAGTAACAGAGGATTGAGAAATAAGATATAAAGATAATCAACACTTGTGACAGCCGCGACTATGATAAAACAGATTTGAATGCGATGTATCCCCTCTCTACCTCGAGTGAAGAGGTAAAAATAATTGTTAAAACCTGTCAACCAAGAGGATCCAACACTAAATAAGCGAGGGAGATGATCTTTTTTGTGTTCGGTTTGGTATTCTCAGATAAGATCATGAGGTAGGCTGCCTCTATGAATTCACATATCAGTTGCAGGTTTTTTTTTTTAGACGAACAGTAGTAAACTTTACTTTGAGCTGTATAAAAAAAAATTACAAAATGCTTTAGCATATGATAAAGAAATAAATTCTTTTGTTAAAGTCTTTACACTTTAAACTACCCTTAATATAAGGACACAGTTATATGTTGCGTGTTCTAGAGTCGGCAAACCAGATTATCTGCTCAGACAATGATTTTGAAATTAACCATATTAGATACGTGCGCTTTCTGTTTTCTAGCTTTTCCAGTTAGCCAGACTGGGCCACAACAACGCGTGGCCTGGTAAAGCTAGTTACTAATAAACTACAAAGATTAATAAACTGGTGCCATCGCAGAATAGATGGAATTTAGTAGTATTATAGAATCACTAATATAGAGCTTTGAGAGAGAACTAAACAAGTTCGTAAGTTCCAGTGAACCAAGAGGTGAAGAAAAGACGATGGCGTTGGATAAGCCTCAAGCTGAGAAAACCTGAGAACAATGTAACTAGATTGTCTTTGCGCTTTAACCCACATAACAAAACATAACCTTTGGCCCATTAGGGTCGTGGAGGTGTATTGGTGGAAGCACGAGCACATAAAACCCGCCAACTTTCTCTGTCTTCCACTTGATGAATAAGTGACTTTAACCCGCAAGGACATAGAAATAAAGGAGGGGTGGGGGGGGGGGGGGGACAAACACACACACACACACACACGAAGAAGGAAGCTGGAGAGTGAAGTTTAAAAAAAGGGGGGGGGTGACATGGGGAGTGCTCCATGCGATAGCGAAGGATAGAACGACTTGGCGTGAGTTGGTTGAGGGCCTATGCTCCATTGGGAGTTAAAAAGGCAGAAGAAGAAGACACGCACACTGTGGGGGCTGTACTTTTTTTTTATTTTATAGGGAGATGACAAGACAATCAACCAAGAGCCTCCAACAGTCATCAGCAAATGGTGGGGAGGAAGATATGAAGACATTCAGATTCCCGTGTGAGTTCTGGGGACCCATTGTGGGGCCAACAAGCATGTCGTAAGAGTCGACGAATTAATGGAGCTTCCTTCGAAGTCGGAATGCCTCTGCCTGAGACGCAAGAAACCAATGATCTGCGTACAAATAGGTCAGATATGCAAAACGAAGCAGAAGAAGAAGAAGAAGAAGAAGAAGAAGAAGAAGAAGAAGAAGAAGAAGAAGAAGAAGAAGAAGAAGAAGAAGAAGAAGAAGAAGAAGAAGAAGACGGTCAGACAGTCAGTCAACAAATTGCGACAACTATGACAAAACAGATTTAAATGCGAAGTGTTTTATTAACAGTCATTGTTTAGAAGATTCTGTTTTTCATTGTTGAATTATTTAATTATTTATAAAACTCGTTCGACATCACAGCGCTAGAGCTTTGGTGCCAGTAAATAAATGATGCTTCACAAGCAGGTGACAGAATCACTGGGATAGTATTTATGTATGTGGGGCTGTTGTAGCCCCCACGCCGACAATTTGCTCAGTTCTGTGAGAACCTCTCTACAGAGGTGAAAATAACGAAACGACAGTCAACCAAGTGGACCCAAGTCATGAAGAGGTGAGGAAGACGATAAGAAGAGAGTCAATAATTGTGACTATAACTTTAATAAAAGATTTAAATGCAACGCATTCCCCCTCTACCCTGAGTACAGAGGTGAAAATAACGAAAAGACAGTCAACCAAGAGGCCTCAAGTCGAGCAGAGGTGAAGAAAACGATAAGAAGAGAGTCAACAATTGTGACAACTATAACTTTAATAACCTTACGATTTAAATGCCAAGTATCCCCTGTCTACCCCGAGTACAGATGTGAAAATAACAAACAGACAATCACCAAAAGGCTCCTAGCCAACAAGAGGTGATCAGGACTGTAAGAAGACTTTTAACAATCGGGACAAATATAACTTTGATACATTTAACAGTTGTGACAACTATAACTTTAAAAACACAGATTAAAACGCGAAGTATACACCCCCCCCCCCCACCTTCCGACATCCGAGTACAGGGGTGAACATAACAAAAAGACAATCAACCAAGTGGCCTCAAGCCAAGAAGAGGTGATGAGGACTAAGTGTGGTCTGTGTCTGCAGCTACCCTAAGATATGACTTCACCTGTAGCACCTTGTGCCTACCTGCAACAGTCGGCAAACCAATGGTGTATCGCATACACACCACTGGGGTGTCTCTGGTTTGACAGTTGTGACAACTATAACTTTAAAATCAGAGATTAAAATGCGATGTAGACCCCCTCCCCCCCCCCTTTTTTTCCCCGACACCCGAGTACAGAGGTGAAAATAACAAAATGACAGTCAACCAAAAGGCTCCTAGCCAACAAGAGGTGAGGACTTTAGGAAGACATTTAACAATCGTGACAACTATAACTTTGATACATTTAACAGTTGTGACAATTATAACTTTAATACCACAGATAAAAATGCGAAGTAACCCCCCCCCCCCCCCCCTTTTCAGACACCCCAGTACAGAGGTAAAAATAACAAAAAGACAGTCAACCAAGAGGCCCCCAAGTCAAGAAGAGGTGATGAGAAAGACGATAAGAAGAGAGTCAACAATTGGCGGCCCTCCTACACGTGACCAATTGTTTGGGTTGACGCCATATTCTTGTGGCGACCTCAAACAGTCATTTCCTGGAGTACCACCCAGCCAGCACTGTTCCACGCCTACTTCTTCTCATCTACGTTTTCTCAACAACCAGACCCGCCATTTTCATTCTAGCCGCGTAAAACAACACTTTATCACCACAGAAGGACTTGTATTCTGCGATATTTGTGAGAAATTCGCTGAGGTTTGGGTGAGAAATCAACCACTGAGTGATTGACGTCTGCTCCGGGTCGACCGTTGACAAGATGCCGGTGCGGAAAGAAGGTACGACATTCCTGTCTTGTTTGTTCCTGGTCGTTTACTTGTCACGCTGTTTCTAGTTTCTCAGCTCTTGGACAAGCGTGTCCTACCCTGCATGATCTGTAGTTACCAAAATCTTTGTGTGCATAGTATTTAAAAACATAATAGATAGAGTTTTGTGTGAGGTTTGTCAAAAATTCAAGTAGAGAAATAAATAATAAATAAAATAAAATATGACGAAATTTGAACTTGCTAGGCATGTTCAGTAAATGTATCGGGTACCTAATTGTCGTCATTTCAATTATTTCTATTGTCTTTTATTGCTTATTTAAGTTTTTAGGGAATGGAATTTAAGACTGAGCGATATGATTTATGATATATTGCAAATGATGACGGCTTTTTTCAATCACAAAATTATAGTAATAATACGAAAGTCATATAAATTATGATGGAAATTCAGTTTGAGCTTCTAGTCATGTTGTATGAATGTTTCTGATACAATGGCAATTGTTTTAGGAAAAACTTTACTTACTACACGTTTGTGTTAGAATTTAGAGAAGTAATCTAATGTCGAATGATTATTGTGTATAAAAGCAATATTAATTTGCATTATTAAAAAAAAACTTATACTTTATACAGTTGTTGAGTAACTCATCTATATCATACTATATGTCTGAAATATACAAACATGACAGACAAATAATTAAATTATAGAATTAGAGCTAGTCATGTGTTGTATTGTTACACCGTGTACATTGCTATAAACTAACTTGTCACATATTGTTTCAGTAACAATTATATTTATTGCTGTATGATACATAAGTAAATTAATGTTTCCTGTTTTGCAGAGCACATATGGGAATGTTGCTAGTGCAGTAATGTCAGTTCGTGGTTCATTCATTCATTCTGATTTCAGTTATTGTCTCTACGTGTGTGTGTGTGAAAATTTAGTTAAAGCAAACTAAATATTACAGAAATATTACATGCAAATTACAGAATTTGAACTACTAGACATGTTATACATTGCTATTATTTTTATTACTTGTCATATGTTGTCTGTGTCAAATGTTAGAGAATTGGGCTCCGAATAACGGTCCCAAATTATCGAGGCTGAAAATATACCCTAACAGGGCCTCAGGCATGTGTCAGTTGTGCACTTCCGGGGACTATACCGCCACCCCTGAGAGTATTCCCCGCGCCGCTTACGCGGTGTGGATTGGGGCTAAACTAGATGGCTGGGACTCACGAGCAAATAAAATGAAGGAAGCTGCAGGATGTGCGGTAGCTGCTGCTCATAAGTCCCAAACATCTAGTTTAGCCCCAATCCACGCCGCATAAGCGGCATGGGGGATACTCTCGGCGGTGGCAGAAGTGCGCAATTTAAGTCCCCGGAAGTGTGCAATAGACACGCGACTGAGGCCCTGTTAGGGTATCTTTTCGGCCTCGATAATTTGGGACCGTTATTCGAAGGATAGCCGAGAATTGTATTAAACACTGAGTGATGTATATTTGCTATAAAAATTTTAAAAATTGCTGGCAAGCTCATCACTATTTGTTGAAAATTCAAATGTGACAAAAAATAAAATGAAGAAATTTGAACCAGGTTTTCCCCGTATGGGTTCAGAGGCCCCATTGTAGGGAAAACATGAATGGAAGCATGTCGTAAGAGTAGACTAGTTGGATACTTCATTTGAAGTCAAAGTGCATCTGCATAAGAGGAAAGGAACCAACAGTCTGCATACAAGTAAGTCAGATCTGTTAAGCAGATGTCCACGCAAAGCTAAGTTGTGGAACAAGACTAAAGTCCAGAGGTGGACCTAGAACTTTTGAGTTTACAGCTGGTGATCGTGAAAAAGAAAACTAGATATGTTCAGTGTTTTGTATCGGGTACATTGTCATTATTTTAATTTAGGCTGTTTGTGTCAGATTTTAGAGAATGGCATCTAAATAACGTAATAGTGAATAGTGATGAATAGTTTCTTTTATTATAAACATTGTGTGCATTGTTTAAACATATTTAGGCTATCCTCTGAATAACGGCCACATATTTCAGCAAAAAAACGCACCCTGACAGGGCCTCAATCACATGTAAATTGCTGACTTCTTTCCAGCGAATATACCTCTGCAAATGTAGGATAAATTTCTAGCAAGTTAAACACGCCGCGCTGAGGGGGCTAGACTAGATGGCTGGGACTCACGAGCAGCAGCTTCCTCATTTTATTTGCTTGTGAGTACCAGCCATCTAGTTTACCCCCCTCTGCGCTGTGCGCAGCGGCACTAGGGATACTCCTGGCAGTGAAACCCTGCGTTACAAATCCAGCTCTAGCCGCACCTTGTTTCGATCATATTTAGCTGAGTTTCAATGGCGCCACAAAGAGCAGATTTTCGGGCACTATTTGCAACATCTGTGCCACAATTTTCAGATATCTTTTTCTTCTTCGCGTTCACCAGCTGTACACTCTGGCAGAAAGTTCTGGTTGCTCGTCCACTACTGAACTGCAGTCCTGCTCCAGAACCTGAGTGTTGCGTGTGCATCAGTTTTACAGATCTCATTCTCTTGAATACAGACTGTTGGTTTCTTGCCTCTCCGGCAGATGCACTCCGACTTCAAAGAAAGCTCCCCAATTAGTCGACTCTTACGACATGCTTTTGGGGGAGGCAGTGAGTCTATTCTTGTTTTCCCCACAATGGGTCCCCGAAACACACACAGGGGTTTTCAGATATAAAGGCCTCAATTATCGCTCTTGTGTTTGAGAGGGGAGTGCTTGAAAGGGCCAGGTGTCAGTCAGACCTGCATGCCCAATTTTGTGTAGAAAATGAAATATGAAAAATATTTAAATGACCGAATTTGAACTAGTCGTGTTGTATTAAGTACAGCACTGTTGCTTTTCTTCTGGCTCTTGTTGTTGCTGCTGTCAGCTTTTAGAGAAAGGCATTTAACGCTGAAATAGCAATGGAGACTGTTCAACACAAACCAAGAGGAGGATGGCTTTAGCAATGCAAAGATTAAACATTAAAAGTCTATGGTTAACCCTCTTAGCACGGACGGGCCGATTATTGGCCGGCGGATGTCTGGCCAAAAACACGAAGCAATAGTGGGAATCAGATGGGGACGCTGTTGTGTTCAGACCACAGCCCAACCATGGCTCAGGGAATATGCACCCGAAGGTGTTGACACTCCGGCACATCCATTTCTTGTGCTGACTGATGGTGAAAAACACATGTCACTTAAAGATATTATTGCTGTTTCATATATATATACCTGTTTTTGACTATTGAATTGCTTACAACATTTGCAAAAAGGCCAAAGATCAATAAAAAGATTTCAAATAAAAAAAATTTGTTTTTAGTTTTATGTTTCAAGCATTGAAATTGAAAATTCAAATTCAAATTTTCTATTTTTAGATATGGAAATGAGATAATTTGCATATACATCAATTAATTTTAGCGATATTGTGAAAATCATGAACTTCATTCTATATACTTCAAACAGACATATTATTTCATGGGGGTCAGAATAACAGAAATCATGTCAAAAAAATTAAAGTAATAACCAAATTCACTGAAAAAATGCTCCGTGTTTTTGGCTAGACCTCTGAAAAACTCCCTGTGCTAAAAGGGTTAAACATCAGCAGGGGAATTAGAATTTTGAGAGCATGCATCTTCCCTGTAGCAACGTACGGATGTGAGTCGTGGACTATCTCTCAGTCCTTAAGAAAGAGAATAGGGGCTTTTGAGCTGAAATGCTACAGAAAGATTATCAGATTACTATGGGCAAAGAAAAGAAGAAATACTGACATTTAAAAAGATCTGAACATCAAGGAAGATTGGCTAATAAACAGCATCTTGTCATGGAAGCTGATATATTTTGGTCATATCAAGCGACCTGGCGGATCTTAAAAAAAAAAATAGCAGAGGGCAGATAGATAGTCCACCTCTGGATTTTGGAAAAAAAAGAAGACACATTTTATGAGGGAGGAGCCATCCTAGCCCCTACACCACCACTCTAAATGTGGGGGGGGGGGGGGGAGTTCTGAAGATGCCTAAACCCCCAGTATTCACAACCCTGTCTTGTATACTGCTGTAATTTGACACATGAGGGGTGAATCCGGTAGGATTAGGGATTTGCCTGACAAGGGAATATGTCTTTTTTTTGAAAAATTAAGATATCAAGTAATACTATCGGGATCTTTAAAAAAAAAAGGATTCAACCAGGAAATAGTTTTAACTATGTAATTGTCAGTATGGCTTGTGTGTTGTGTCACTTTTAACTGTCATTGTGGCTAGTGTGTTGTGTCACCCCATGGCAATATATTTGTTTCTTCTTCTTCTTCTTCTTCTTTGCTCTCACAGGCTGTAAATTTTGGTGGAAAGTTCTGGTTGTTTGCCCACTTCTGGACTTTAGTCTTGTTCCAGAACTTAAGTCTTGTCTGCATATCCTTATTTGTGTGCAGACTGTCGGTTCCTCACCTCTCAGACAGACGCACCTGACTTCGAAGGAAACACCCCTAATAAGATGGCTTTTATGACATGCTTGTTGGGGAGCAGTGGGTGTAGTTTTGCCTCAGAACCCAAACAGTGATCGCCTGTATGAAAGGACCCCTTTTTATGCCGCAGGCGTGTCGGGCATATAGACCTAGACTCGTGTGTGTTTTCAGACCAGTCAACACCTGATGGGCACTGTGGTCATCACCTGCCTATACTTCTCAGAATATTTCCTGGTATCCAGTTTAGGCCCGGTCAACCTGGGAGGTTCAATGCAAATTTGAACCCCATGGTCCTCTGGTTGGCAGGCCAGCATCTAGCCACTATGCTACCATTGGTCCTCTGGTTGGCAGGCCAGCATCTAGCCACTATGCTACCATTGGTCCTCTGGTTGGCAGGCCAGCATCTAGCCACTATGCTACCATTGGTCCTCTGGTTGGCAGGCCAGCATCTAGCCACTATGCTACCATGGTCCTCTGGTTGGCAGGCCAGCATCTAGCCACTATGCTACCATGGTCCTCTGGTTGGCAGGCCAGCATCTAGCCACTATGCTACCATTGGTCCTCTGGTTCGCAGGCCAGCATCTAGCCACTATGCTACCATTGGTCCTTTGGTTGGCAGGCCAGCATCTAGCCACTATGCCACCATTGGTCCTCTGGTTGGCAGGCCAGCATCTAGCCACTATGCTACCATTGGTGCTGTGGTTGGCAGACCAGCATCTAGCCACTATGCTACCATTGGTCCTCTGGTTGGCAGGCCAGCATCTAGCCACTATGCTACCATTAGTCCTATGGTTGGCAGGCCAGCATCTAGCCACTATGCTACAAAGATAACTAAATATTAAATTAAAAAAAAAAAATTACTGTGGGCCCCAGAAATGTCAAAAGATTGTTGAAAATGCTTTGAGATATTACAATGAGTAAAAAAAACAATGTAAATGAATCAACCACTCTCATAATTGTTAGAATCTCTAAGCGTGTTGCAGGACCCCATGGGGGAGGGGGATGGACCCATTGCCCCCCCCTAACAAACGTGTTGTAAAAGGGAGTGCATCAGCTTAAGAGGCAAGGTACCAGCAATCTGTGTTCAAATAAGCCAGGTGTGTGGAATGGATTAGGACACAAAACTCAAGTTCAGGAACAAGACCAGACTCCAGAAGAGGATGAACAACCGGAGTTTAGAGGCAGTGAACCGCAAGAACAAATGATTGTTGTTATAAGCTGCATTTAGTGCTATCAGTTTTCACAGATTTGGTTCCAGGGCCATATTGTGGGGGGGGGGGGGGAAATGACAACAGACCCATTACCTTTCCTCCAAGTATGTCAAACTGAGTTGACTGATTGGGGGCTTTCCTTCGCAGTCGGAGTGCATCTGCCTGAGAGGCCAGGGAACCAACAACCTGCATAAATAATTAAGATCTGTAAAAGGAATGTGCACACCTCACTCATTTTCTGGAATAAAACCAGAGGTGGAAGAACAACCAGAATTTTCTGTCGAAGTTACAGTCGTTGAACGCGAAGAAGTGCTAGAAAAATTACCCTAGGTCAGTGATTCCAAAACTGTGCCCCTGGGAGCCGCAACCTGTCCACATGGGCGCCACAAATATCGTAAAAGCTTCATAATTAATTTAACCAAAGCACAGTCATACTTCTACTGCGGTTATGGCGTCATGGGAAAAAAAAAGGCGCTGAGACAAAGAAAAGTTTGGAGACACTGCCCTAGATACTAAAAAATCTTATTGCCTTTTGTTTTCCTAATTTAAACAGCCCTGCATGTTCTAGTAATAATTGACCATTTTTTGGTCTATCTTGCAGATGCTCACAGAGCTCTTGAACTCCTCGAGGATTACCATACAAGGCTGACTAAACCACAGGATCGGCCTCTAAAGACTGCCATTGAGCGTGTCATTCGAATCTTCAAAAGTCGCCTCTTTCAGGCTTTGCTAGGTAAGATTGTGTCCATGATTGTGAGTATATTGAATCTACTGTGCCACAGTCTTGATGAGAAGTGCATTTGAAAACATCACATATAAGGTGGGAAAATTAACAAGGGAAATTAAAAGGATGGCCATTGAGTTAAGTATGTTTTGATTCCTCCCCACCAAAAAATGGTTGACACGTTTCGTTTCTGTGGACAGTTGAGTTGAGCTGAGACAAAAATTGACATCAGATCACTCAGGGCATTCCCTTGCATGCTCCGTCCTCATCTTCAGCAGCCAGTGCAGTTCCATTACTGATGGTACCGGTCACAACCTGGTTATATGTCTGTCTTGCCTGTCCTCTGAAGAAGATGAAGAAGCTTTTATCGAGTTTGTTCATCAGGCAGTTGCAGTTCCCTTGTTGATGAGATTCTGTTGTCCTGGATAGTGGGCCAAAACATTGCGATGGCAGTGTCGTTGAAGCTTGCAGATTTGTTGGCCATTTCCCACCCCAACATAGCGTAAACATAATACATAGTTAGTTAGTTGCGTATCCTTTTACAGGACTTTGCAGAACCAACACTAGCATTGGCTGTTGTGGTTTGTCTAGGCATATTTAGGTCCAGTAGTTTGCCATTGCTATCTGGACAGTCGGCTTCTTGATACCACTGTCGAAACTAACGCAAGGCGCAAAGCCCACAGCTGGGGTCGAACCTGGCACCCTAGCATTATGAACAATTCATACATACAGTGGGAAAAAAAGTAGCAGTCCATTATAAGGGAACAGAACAGTCCGAGAGAAATCATAGCCATTGAAAAATATCACAGCCGCTTGTCACCATTTTAAAAACTAAATAAAATGATAGAATACAGAAACACATATTTACATGCCTTGTGCAAGATGGGTTAAGGAGTCACACTCGGGACATTCCCATGCGTGCTCCGTCTCCATAGAGTCCCTGTGCTGATATTACCAATTACAACCTGATAAAAGGTCCACCTTTGTGTCCCTCCCCTTCCCCTCGGTGTTGAATATCTTCCATCCCTATGTGGGTTCTGAGTACCCTTTGTAAGGAAATCAAGAATAGACCCACTGACTCCACAACAAACATGTCATAAGAGTGTACTAATTGGGGGTGGGGGGGGGGGGTTTCATTTGAAGTCGGAGTGCATCTACCTGAGAGGCAAGGTACCAACAGTCTACATACGCATGTCATATCTGTAAAACAGATGTGCATGCAACACTCAGGTTCTGGAACATGTCTAAGATCCAGAGGTGGTTGAACAGCCAGAACTTTCCTCCGCCGGAGTTTAGAACCGATGAACGCGACAGGGTTGAACGCGTTGCAAAGAGGAAGAAGACGAATGTCTTCTAGAACCTCATCTGATATCTTGCCAAATTAGCTTTCAAGATATGGATACTTTGTCTATTCTGTTGTCCCCCTGCTGATCCAAGACCCCATTTTGGGGAGGCAAAAAAATAGACTCACTGTTGACTGCGTCCTCACCCAATAAACATGTTATAAGAGGCGAGTAATTAGCGGTATTTCCTTCAAACAGAGTGAATTTGCCCAATAGATGAGGAACCAACAGTCTGCATACAAATAAGCCAGCTCTGTTGAACAGATATGCTCGCAAAACTAAACTTCTGGAACAGAAAAGTTTACAGGTGAAAAAGAAGAAGTCTATTCTCTTGCACTGTCTGCTTTATCCTGAGATCCTTTACCAAATCCGCTTTATCATAAAGTAGCTCCTCGGCCAGAGGCACAGCATCAGCCATCTGTCAGCATGCTTATTACCCTGCATAAAGTCCACAATATGCTCTTGATCTGAGTCTTAACAAGCAGTGCAACCCACTGTAAGCTTAGGATGTTGGTTTCTCTGAGCTGGTTAAAAACTACCTATACTTTATTACTTGGAACATGAGGATGATAATGAAGAATCAGTGATACTGCATTTGGGGCAAATATAATCCTTGTTCGTGATGGATCGATATCAGTGCTTTCAGCACACATCTGTAAATCGCTTCCCTCACCCCAACATCTCTCCGCAGAATTAAAAGGGTGTCAATGCAGTGCGTGTTGCTGTTATAATAAGCTGGTTAGCATGACTTTAGAACCTTGGCTAGCTAGCAGCAGTATGAAAGTGGTCGAACTTTTATATTTTTTCTCAAAAGGAATCGGACACTTTGGAACCTTATGGCTTAAAGTCTTTGCTATCAGACTACGTCTTGCTCTATCATTCCTGTTGAAGAAGATTCACCAAGTAATGTCACACTCCACTTTATCTTTCATTTATTGCATACAGTGGATCTACTCCAGCTGTGGGTACTGGACATCGTTCACCTCTGTTTATTACTGGATCCCTTCCACCTGTGTTTATTACTGGGTCCTCTCCACCTGTGTTTATTACTGGGTCCCCTCCACCTGTGTTTATTACTGGGTCCCTTCCACCTGTGTTTATTACTGGGTCCCTTCCACCTGTGTTTATTACTGGATCCCTTCCACCTGTGTTTATTACTGGGTCCTCTCCACCTGTGTTTATTACTGGATCCCTTCCACCTGTGTTTATTACTGGATCCCTTCCACCTGTGTTTATTACTGGATCCCTTCCACCTGTGTTTATTACTGGATCCCTTCCACCTGTGTTTATTACTGGATCCCTTCCACCTGTTTGACTAGAGAAGCAAAGAAGAGTAAAACTGAAACATTCCATGCATGTCTTAAGAGGAGGCTGTGAAGGCTTGTATGAGACTTGTAGTATAACAGTGAACAGAAGGGGTTAACAGGTACTACCAAACATTGACGGATGCATACTATCGGAGAAAAACAGGTAGAGAAGTACCAAAAGATCTAGACCCAATATGTTTAAGGAGTGGAATTTTTTTTTTTTAAACATGGTGGTAAATAGTTCAGCCATGGCTGCAGTTTGTGAAAGTCAGTAGGTTTGTAAAATAAACCACCCTGTCTAACTTACACAGTTCCAAGCACCTAAATTTTCAGGCTTAAGACCTCTTCTCTCTTCTGCCTGCCCTTCATTATCCTAGGGTTCCATCGCCCAGCTACTGAGTTGAGTGCTTGGTGCAACACTGTTAGCTGTGTATTTCGTGCAGAATGTTTTTTCTTGTGGGACTGCAGCGTATTTATGCTGGGGACCCCACAACAAATGGCAGATGGCTTATTATATTTGGAATGGCATGTACTTATGCAGTATTGATTGTGCAAATGCCAGCTTTTGTGATTTACTGCTTGCCTCAGCATTGAGGTGTAATTCTGGTAGGGGACTGTTAGTATCGGTACATCTGATAGTTGCCTTATGCAATTAATTTGCATGTGCAAGCTTTAAGCTAATGTCATTCAGCATGTACAGAGCTCATGGGTTTGCGATTCTGGTTTGGCCTCAGCATTGAGGTGTAATTCTGGTAGGGGGCTGTTAGTATAAATCATTTTAGTACCAGGGCGCACTAAGATATGAGGGAACGAACAAGTGGATTAGCTTACTGGTAGGTCCAGGTTCGATTATCTTAGTGAAAAAGAGTACAAGAACTTGAGGTCAAAAGAGGTTTTGCCAGACAGGAACACTATTCAGGTAGCAATGTAGTTAAATAAGAATAGTAAACCAACACACGATGAGGGATATATTGAAGACAGAATCCGAGTGCTGGTGGATATGTGCGATGAGATAGTTTGTTGATTAACTGACTAACTAATGTTGAGCTATGGGAGAGAATCAAGCAAATTCCATTGAATCAAGAGGTGAGGAAAAGACGCTGGCCTTGGATAGGACACACGTTCAGAAAACATTAGAACAATAGAATTAGGAGAGCTTTACACTGCAACCCCCAGGCACAGATAAATACCAGCAGACCAGAAGAAAAACACACAAGTGGAAAAGGGAGAACTGGAGAGGGAAGTTAAACAGATGAGGAGGACATGGGCTCAGCTGCATGCGATAGCAAAGGATAGGATGACTTAAGAGTAAGTTGGTAGAGCGTCTGTGCTCTATTAGTGGATACACGGTAGAAGCAGCAGCAGCTTTACCCCAGTTAAATTGATTTCCCTCTTCTTCAGCGATCTCTGGTCATGCGCATAATCCACTGTGGGTCATAAACTGGGATGTCTTTTCAAGGTCTCTTAGGTTTCCCCAAAGCTTAGTTGTCAGTTCTACTGGGTGTTGCCATATGTCGCTCCGCAGCTCCGCCAGGAGAGGACAGTCTTGCAGGACATGTTCTGGAGTCTGTTCAGCACGAAGGCACCGGCAGAGAGCTGTTTGGCTCATACCTAATTTATGTGAGTGTTTATTGAGTCTGCAGTGTCCAGTGCGTAAGCGAAACACTGTGACTTGGTCTGTTCTGTTCAAATGTTTCAGAAAATCTTTTTCGTAGTTAAAACCAGTGTTGGTTTTCCAATCTGTTTCTGATTTTCTCTTAATGAGAGTTTTGACTTCTGGAAAAGATAGATATCACTCAAAAACCAATGCTATAATTTGAGGTTTGAACAACGGATCAACATCATGGCACACGTGTAGTAACCAATAAGTGCTCCGTTCTTCTTCTAACTCAAGTCTGAGTCTGAAGAAGCTCAGTACATTGCATAGGCTCTGTGGCACCAGCGAGGATCCTGAAATACTTTAGGTAGATTTTTTTTTAAATGTGCGCAGCAACGCACACGGGTGTCCGATTTAACTACCTAGAGACCAGGGGGAATTACTAGAAGTCCAAGTCCACGTGAAAAAATACCAACTCTTACTGGGGGATTGAACCCGGAACCTCTAGCACTCGAGGCCGGCACCATGCCTCGAGACCACGCAGCTCCCCTATTTGAGGTGAAACTGGTGAAAAAAACATAGAACCAGACATGGGACGTGAATTCTCATTTCTATCACTAGAGCTGGTAGAAATAGCTCTTCGCATCGACTAGCCATGGGGCCGAGAATTACAGGAATAATTGCTTTTTCGGGTGCGCTGTTTGAATCGGGAGGCCGACAGTCTCGCAATGAGGGCGTCACGAATTTCATTTCTGTGTTTGT